GGTTGCAGCAGCTGTGGATACAATATGATGTGAAGTCTTCTGTCTCAGAGTGTAGTTTACTGTAACTACCAAATACCAATTGTTCCTTTTGTAGGCTGTAGCTTTCATAAATCAAGCTTGTTTTTTTCTTGGGGGAATGGAGGTCAGTGGGGGAGTAGAGGTGATAAACCTGATTGAGCATGCCACATGAACTACAGTTTGATGTAATGGAGACGAAAACAATGAGTTTGCATATTTGGTGTTTAATTGGGCTAGTAGGTAAAAAGAAAACCTTACTGCAGATGCCATTGTTTCTTTACAAATTTACAATTCATTGTCTTGTTTACCAAGAAGGAAGTTTGTTCTTTTATTGGCGTGTAAGTGCAAGATTCCATGTGTGGATGCATTTGATAAGATATAGACTCTCTCTGAGCGTGTGCGCATGTGTATTACCTTACTTGTATTACCTTACTTGTATATGTTCTGTTGAGTAGATTTGTCTACTGCCATCAATATTGTTCGAGCATGGAACTTAGTAACCTTATTTGACAAATAAAATGGGTCTTAATTTGAATTGTAACACAGATAATAACCGGAACTAGTAGGATATTGACATGTAGGAAAAAATACCTGGAAGCAGTGTTGTAAAACACGCTCTGGGCGGCCGTCTAGGCGCCCGCCTAGGCGGAGGCGGTGCCCAGAGCGTGCAAAAATGCCCTGGGCGGCCGCGATTAGGCGCTGCGAGCGCCTAGGCGGCCGCCCAGGGCTAAGCGGGCCGATTACACGGGCCGCCTCACAAAATCCAGCCCAAAAAAATCCCTGGGCGCTCCCAAGAACCCGAACCCAAAACCAAAACCCAAAACCCAAAACCGAAACAAGCCCTAAATCTCTTTTACAGATTCACCGACGCCGCCAGCAAAAAGAAAAAATCGCCTTCGATCTCGTGCTGGAGTTTCGAGCTCATCTTCAACCTCGTGCTGGAGCTTTCGAGCTGGACTTTCGAGCTGTAGCTTCGTCTTCAACCTCGTGCTGGAGCTTCGTCTTCGACCTCGTGCTGGACTTTCGAGCTCGTGCTGGACTTTCGAGCTCGTCTTCAACCTCGTGCTGGAATTTCGAGCTCGTCTTCAACTTTGAGCTCATCTTCGAGCTCATCGTTCTCATCTCCAACTTCGAGCTCATCTTCGAGCGGTCGTTCTCATCCTCGAGCTGGACTTTCGTTCTCATCTTCAGCCTGTAAATAAAACACGACTTCAAACTTGGGTTTTGGTTTAATCCGCTGATCATTTAGTAAAACACGACTTCAAACTCGTGTTGGACTTTCCGTTCGGCTGTGCTCTTAAGCAGATTTGGTTGATAATTTTTATTGGGTTGCTTACTTGTGGGTTTAATCTGCTGATCATTTGAAATCTGTGTTTAAGAGAAATCTGTGTTGATTGGAAAGGTAAAATCTGTGTTTAATCCGCTGATGTTTCATGTTTGGTAGATTCTTATTACTTGTGAGGATTTTTTATTATATGTTGTTCAGTTTAGCAGGCTAGTGAAGTTGAGATTTGTTGTTTCAAGCTTAAGGAAATTAACTGCTCCTAGCCGCCTATGACTGTCATATGCATTTATAATTTATTACATGTTAACTTAATATATTTATACCATATTTAGTTTAATTGTTAAGTTTATTTGTTCAATTGTTTAAGTTTAATTTTCCTATTTCAAATGAAAAAGTATCCGAGTGTACAACAGAATATGCATCACCACGGTCCACAACAGGCTTATGCTCCTTACATTTATCTTTGTCATATTCATTCTCTGCATTTGCTCAAAGCTTACAACTGTACATGCAATAATTGTGTATCTGTATTGAGTTGAGTGCTGAAACTATAATATTCATGCTCCCTACATTTGGATTTGCAACAATAACGAATGAAGTTGCAGTTTTTGACCTACAAAATAGAACAATAATTAGTTGCAATTTTTGCAGTTGGAGCAATAACGAATGAAAGTACAGTTAATGGTCATTGTAGTTATTGGATATTTTGGGACATAAACTTCTAGTTATTGGATATTATATGCCTTGTCATTTAGTATGTATGCATCTTTGATTGACTATTATACTTTGGATAGCATATGTGTTGTGTTGGTATTTTTGTATTTATGCATTGTTGATTGAGTATATATATTTATCTTCAAGTATCACAATTAAAAAAAGAAAAACCGCCCAGAAGAAAAAACCCGCCCAGAAACCGCTTAGGCGCCCGCCTAGGCGTCTAAGCGCTGGGCGCCAAGTCCGGCGCCCAGGAGCGCCCAGCGTTTAATGTAACATTGCCTGGAAGGATGAGATTTGATAGTTTCTTATTTGAAAATGTTAAAATATATAAGCTTTGCATGAACTTGCCCTTTTCTTAACTAAGATATATGTTCTTTGGGACATATTCGGCATATTTGGATTCGTATTCAGATAACTCAAATAGTTCCCGACTATATCAATTCTACTTTTAAAGTGATGGATATCTAACATCCTTATTTGTTCGAACTGGATATGAAATTGGATATAGACTGGATGCTTTCATGGTTCCAATATTTTTGCATAACTGTCAAGCGGTATGTAGTATGTTGCAAATCTGTAAGATGTAGTTTGCTTTGTTCACAATCCTTTCAAGATTTTTGAATGTTCAGGTTTAGGTGCCAATGATATGGAGGATGAAGTGATTTGAATCCATAGGTGTTCATCAGGATGAAGTGTCAAGTCCCAAAGATCTAACGGGGTTAGACCTCGGAGTATTAATCAATATGATCCAGGTGTACTCTTGCTAATTCAAGAGCAATACCTCAACATTCATGTCAACTAATCCACTTAGTTAAAAGATATACAAAACATTTCAGCCTTAGTTTCATCCAATACTAACAAAGAATCCAATCTGTCAAAACTTTTAGGTTATTACCTAACTTCTTATAGACTCATGCTTCACAAAACAATTGTCATTTCTAAATTTAAAATGTAGTCTATTGCATACAACCACAGTTACAATTCAAGCCAAAATACATGTCAAACCCATTTTGTACAATACCAACAAACACATAAGATTAATTTATGACCATAGAGACATATCCGCGTTACGCCATTCCGCATTACTCTATTTGCTTATGTCCCCAATTTAGAGTTGAACATACTCTGAAAAATTAAAGGTGAATTGAATGAGTGCCTTCAGTAACCCTCTACTTCCTAGATTCTATATTTAAAGAAAATACTAAAAATACTATCATATGCATCAATAATGTAAAATTAATCTAGAGAAAGGAAGACGAAAATAAGAAGTGATGCACTGATGATAACAATTAAAGTGAATTTCATGAGTTTCAAACATATCATCTTTAAGACAAATCTCAAACTTTACAGTAAAAAGTGTGAGATTTAGAGACTGATGTCAGAATTATAGTAAGGCACGTAATGCGAGGCCTTGAACAGTTGACCACTTCTATAGTTCAGTACATGTACGATATCCATAATTTTAATTTATTTTCATGGGTTGTTATACCATCTCGGCAGGGGTCTAGTAACCAGATTGATATCACCCAACAGGTCCAGTACAGTACAATAACAATTCTTACAGAAAGAATTTATACAGGTCAAATGAATCCCTCCAGTTCAGTAGCTTTCGCAGACGTCTCCGAAGGAATTGGTAAAGTCCTTTTGGACGTCTGCGAGGACTCCAGTAAAAAAAACCAGCGTACATACCCTAGCAGCCCAATAATATTTGATGGGCCTGGGATAATCCATGCTATGCCTAGGCTCCACAATCCATATAAATAAACCCACTGATTTACTGCACCGATCCAGTAAACCCCCATGGCTTGAAGGTTTTGTTTATAGTTATATAAACAAATGAGCTTTTTTTTCTTCCAAATTTTCAACTGTCAACTGGTAAGAATACTAGTCCCAACATCATAATGTAGAATTCTAAATTCAAAATTTAACTGTAAAACTTTAATCTCCAGTAAACTATCCTTTTACAGCGTCAACTTTCAGCGCGCGCGTACACACATGTATACACACACATGCAAGCATGCACGCATGCACACACGTTAAACATATCCTAGTCTACTCAATAGGAAAAAATTAATAGCTATGTACATTAAGTATTGATAACCTGTCACAGACCAATTGATGTTGATGAAGTTTTATGCATCTGTGATGCTGATCCATAGCAGTTTACTACTTTATGTTTTAAAGTCCTTTGAAAAGCTACACGAGCTAAAATCTTCTACAAATTATGTCAGCCGCCTTTAAAAAGTTACACAAGCTAAAATCTTCTCCAAATTAGGTCAATCTCCAGTATTTTCTCTATCTAGTGATAGACATGGCTAATCTAATCTTATGTTTTTTACTTTTTATTCAGGTAAATGCAATCTCTACCAAGGGAAGTGGATTAAGGAACCAGCTGGGACACTGTACAAAAATGACAACTGTCCTTTTATGACACAGATGCAGAATTGTCAGGGAAATGGGAGACCGGACAAGGAGTATGAGAACTATAGGTGGAAGCCTAACCAGTGTGACCTCCCACATTTCAGTCCCAGGAAATTCTTGGAGTTGATGAGGGACAAGACTTTGGCTTTCATCGGGGATTCAGTTTCTCGAAATCAGTTTGAGTCATTGCTTTGTATCCTATGGCAGGCATGCTCCCTTGTTCCCTCTACTTACCTGTCATTAAATAGTGGAAGACTTAATGTGCTGGTAGTCTTTTATCTTTTTTGTGGACTATTAATATAGAATTGATCCCTCCCTAGGGGCAAGACTCCTGTTACTTCCACTTGAGTTTAACCTGGTTCGAATCAGAGATTCTTAAAAGATGACACCTTTACTTCATGTATTTGTATGAGTTCTCAAAGGAATTAACCATTTTTGGGGGGCTTCTGACCCTTGAGATAAGGCATCACAGCTTTTATGATTGATGTATTGAGTATATTTCTTCCCCATTTTCTTTAGGACACATTTCTACAGTCCCTAGGAAGATCTTCACTACACTTCGACAAGGAAAAGGAACCACTACATTTACTTTGTTTCAAGTAGAACAAAACTAACTCTTGATTTCACACAACCAGGCCCCTCTGTTAATAAATTTTTCTAATCAGCAACTTTGTCTGAGCTTGAGACCCAAGATACGATTAATGTGTTGCAGGCTTAGCCTCCATTTATTTTCAAAGGAAATTGGACACTATTAAAGAACTGTACTTTAAACCAAATTTTTAGAGGTTTCTATCAAAGCGAATTCATGGTTTTCCTTCATATAACACAGGAAGAAGCTCCAAAGAACCGAGGTAACCGTCGGATGCAGCGATGGCAATTCAGATCGACAAATACAATGATCATCCGCATATGGTCCTCATGGCTTGTACACACTGACCCTGAAGCATTCCAGTTTTCCCCAAAGGGAGTCACCAAATTATTTCTCGATATTCCTGACAAAACCTTCATGGAATTTCTCCCAACCTTTGATGTAGTTGTTCTTTCCTCTGGACATTGGTTTGCAAAACAGTCTGTTTATGTACTCAACAACAGTATTCTCGGTGGACAACTCTGGTGGCCTCAAGAGGCTGGAGATATGAAAATTAATAGTCTTGAAGCCTACGCAATCTCGGTCGAGACAGCTGTGACTGCAATTTCAAACCACCCAAATTTTACAGGCCTTGTGATTCTTCGATCATACTCTCCGGATCACTACGAGGGTGGGGCTTGGAACACAGGTGGATCATGCACGGGTAAAACAATGCCAGTGAATGAAATGGTTAGAAATGGGTTTACTGATATTATGCATGAGAAGCAGATAACAGGTTTCCAACAGGCGGTCAAAAAGTCAGAAAATAGCCACTCCAAATTGAGGTTGATGGATATAACGGAGATGTTTGGGTACCGACCTGATGGACATCCGGGGCCGTATAGGAGTCCGGACCCGAACAAGATTATAGAGAGGGGGCCAAATGGTGAACCACCACCGCAGGATTGCTTGCACTGGTGCATGCCGGGGCCAATTGATACTTGGAATGAAATTGTTTTAGAGATCATTAGGAGGGAATTTGAGGGAGCATGAGACTGATTGCAAGTTTGCACCTGTCATATGGTATGTATATATATACGAGGATAATTTACTGTTACGGCAACCACATCATGCCTACGATATGAAAGAGGTATATCTAATCATTCTTTTGTTAATCATTTTTTAAACTATCTGTATTTGTATTCTTTTGTTAATCATTTTTTAAACTATCTGTATTTGTATCTTATGTTTCAAAGGACTGCTGTTTGTTTTTTTTTATCATCTGAAGATGATCCCTTTATTGTACAACTTACACGACCGAGCGAATTTTGGTCATCTGCTAATTTAACATCTTATCGTTTGATTGAGGAGAAACTCTTTTAGCCCTTGCTTGGGGGTGCATAATGTATGGTTAATTCCCCTAAACGCCCATGAACTTTTGGGATTTTTGTAGTAAACTACCATGAACTTTGAAAACTAGACAAAGCACCCATGATTGAGGAGAAACTCTTTTAGCCCTTGCTTGGGGGTGCATAATGTATGGTTAATTCCCCTAAACGCCCATGAACTTTTGGGATTTTTGTAGTAAACTACCATGAACTTTGAAAACTAGACAAAGCACCCATGATTGAGGAGAAACTCTTTTAGCCCTTGCTTGGGGGTGCATAATGTATGGTTAATTCCCCTAAACGCCCATGAACTTTTGGGATTTTTGTAGTAAACTACCATGAACTTTGAAAACTAGACAAAGCACCCA